ATACTTGAGGAAATGTTCAACTTCTTTAGCCATCAGGGAAATGTAAATAAAAACAACTCTGACATACCATCTTACACCTGTCAGAATGCCTAAAATCAAAAACAACAATGATAGCTTATGCTGGAGAGGATGTGGAGTAAAGGGAACACTCATCCATTCCTGGTGGGAATGCAAACTTGAACAACCACTCTGGAAATCAGTATGGCAATACTTAGAAAATTGGGAATTAACCTACCTCAGGATCCAGAAATACCACTCTTGGGCTTATACCCAAAGGATGCTGAATCATACTACAGGAGCATTTGTTCAGCTATGTTCATAGCAGCATTATTTGTAATAGCCAGGTCCTGGAAACAACTTAGATACCCCTCAATTGACTAATGGATAAAGAAACTGTGGTAGATTTACACAGTACTACCCAGTGGTAAAAAAAAAAAAAAAAAAACAAAACAAAAACATGACATCTTGAAATTTGCTTGCAAATAGGTGGAAATAGAAAAAAAATCATCCTGAATGAGATTACCCAGATACAGAAAGAGAAGCATGCTCTGTACCCACTCAAAAGTGGACACTAACTGTAAAGCAAAGGATATTAAGTCCATGACCCCAGAGAAGCTAAGTAACAAAGAGAACCCTAAGAAAATATATATACATCCCCTTGAGAAGGGAAATAGACAAGATCTCCTGAGAAAATTGGGAGCGTGGGGTTGGGGTAAGAGAAGATAGAATAGGAGGAGGAGAGAAGGAGGGGAGTAGAACTTGAGGAAATGGGATAGTCAAGATCGAGGAACAGAGATGGAGAGCCAGGAAAGAGATATCTTGTTTGAGGGAGCCATTATGGGGCCAGTAAGAAACCTGGCACTAGAGAAATCCCAAGAATTCACAAGGATGACCCCAGCTAAGACCCTAAGCAGCAATGGAGAGGGTTCACTAACTGCCCTTGCCCTATAGTCAGATTGATGACTGTCTTAAATGTCACCATAGAACCTTCATGCAGCAACTTATGAGAGCAGAGGCAAAGATTCACAGTGAAGCATTGGGCTGGGCTCCCTAAGTCCAGTTGAAGAGTGGGAGGATATGTGAGTTTGGGGGTGGATGGGGCTAGTAGCTTGAAAGGTCAGGTGGATGGGTTTGAGGGGAGCCTACCTACAGAAAAGTCTCCTGATGGATGGTTAGAAAAGCCGAGAGAGTTGGGGAGGAGTCCGGGGTTTTGTCCCACTGTGAATGTTATAGAGACTGGAGTTTCCCATCACATGGCTGTTCACTCACCTCTTAAGTCCCCTCAGTATTGGAGGAAGCTTTGTTTTCTACAATCTTCTCTATCAGGCTCAGGAGTTGGTTGATTTACTGTGTTTGGTACCATAGATTTTCCTAGCTTTCCTTTATTTATTCCTTTCATGAAATTTACTATTTCATATAATTGAGATCGTCTTTATTTCTTCTCTGAGTATAATAATATTTTCAAGAATCTTTTACAGTGCTGATTTGATGGTCGTGAACTGGCTTACTTAATTATTTTCATTCTTTTTTTCTTTCATTTCTGTCTTTCTTCTCCAGGTCATGAGGTCATGAATATGATTCATCTGCTTGTTCTTTCAGGTAATAGGTCATATTTGGTCAGAAAACCTTTGACATCATCACCTAGCATTTACCTATTTCAGTAACTTTGAGTTCAATAGTTGAGGAGGAGGAGGAGGAGTCATGCTGTCTTGCTTTTTCATGTTTTCAGCATCTCTTTGCTGTGAGTGGAACATCTGCCAGTTTGAAGCTTCTCAAGAGCTGTGAGAACGTGGGAAACAACTCCATATAGCATTGGAGCCGGTGGGGTGGTTTGAAGAGCTTTGGTGGAATGCAGATGTCTGCCAGGTCCTTTTGGTGTGTGATGTCAGATAACTTCAGGGTTCTATGTCTAGTGGGTTTCTGAGGCAGAAATGGCCTGTATATTGGTGAGAGTGTGGTGTTGAAACCACCCACTGTTACTGTGTTGGAGCCAATGTTTGGTATTAGATCTGTTAATGAAATTTGGTGCCTCAGGGTTTGGTGCATATATGTCTAGTAGAATAAATTTATCTTAACTTAGACTTCCTTATTTTAAAGTTGGAAAGAAGTGAATCACCTCCAGTCATCCATTTTTCTGATGATTCCCTGATTTTTAAAAATTATTTATTTAATATTCTTGGGCATTTTGCTTCCATGTGTGTCTGTATACCACATGCAGGTAGTGCCTGCAGAGGCCAGAAGGGGTGTCAAATCCCCTTGAACTGGGACTACAGATGGTTCCTTGTGAGCTATTACACAGAGTCTGGGAACAGAATGTAGGTCCCTGGAAGGCAACTGCTAAATCTATGAAAATGGTAAACTTAAGAGAATGTGTTGTAGAGATAAAGACATATTAAACCTCCAGCGTCACTCCCTGATCCTTTCAACAACATTCTTTTTTTTAATATTTATTTATTTATTATGTATACAGTATTCTATCTGTCTGTATGCCTGCAGGCCAGAAGAGGGCACCAGACCTCATTACAGATGGTTGTGAGCCACCATGTGGTTGCTGGGAATTGAACTCAGGACCTTTGGAAGAGCAGGCAATGCTCTTAACCACTGAGCCATCTCTCCAGCCCCTCAACAACATTCTTTTGGAGGATTGTAGAGGGAGGAAGCAGGGCAACTGCCTTGTAGCAGTGCCCTGAATGTAATACCTACTCACTCCATGTTCATTATTATCATAACATTGAAGGGAACAGACAAAAGCATCTTGTGCTAAGTTCTGCCATTTTGACTTCAGACTCCATTTTATCTGTAGGATGGCACAAAGTTCGGGATCTCAGGCCTTAGGGCAGCTGAGAACTTTGCAATGACTGATCCACCTTTAGACAATATAAATAGTCTGTTATGCCCCCTTAATTCCCTAAAGTGTTATGGCTGTTCCTAACAGCAAAGAAAAAATGGATCTGACTTGGTGGGCTAAAAAGTTTACCCTTGTGTCAGTTGACAATGATGGAATGCCTAGGGATAGCCCTTAGTCTTTGACTCTTGATTGCTAAAAACTGTACCTGTAACTTGGAACAGTTGAGTTTATATTTTTATGCTTATAAATCCTCCTTCAGCCCCTGTCAGGGCTGCCAGGAAAAGCAAGACTCCTGAGTCCTTATCCTGCAGCACTGCCAATCAGTGAGCCCACTTATGTGTGATTTATTAAAGTCTTTGAAACCTATAATTGTTATCTCTCCCTTCCTCATGGCACACAACAGACAGGGTGAGACAATGTGAGCGAAAGTATAAAGAACTCTAATTTAAAAAAGGAAGCAGTCAAAAACTAAAATTCAGCAGTAGTCTTGGATGCCAAAGCTCTTTCCACTACAGTCTCCCAGTCTTTAAATGCATAGTGGGCAATGATCCAAGCAGGAAAGGAGTAAAGGTACAAGACGACCCACTTAATGGGGCGGGATCATAATGTCTTTGCTAAGTGTTCACGTCATACCTTGATCTTTCAATCAGTCACTCATTCAACAAATATTTGAAGTTGTAAAATAACCACAAAGTGGGTAAATGTTCAGACAAATGGAATGTGCATAGTTGCATGTTCCCTCTGTCTTTGGTTTTGACAGGAGCTCAGGGTTTTAGAAAGAAAGAAAGAAAGAAAGAAAGAAAATATATGGACTATGCAATACATGTCATGGTACAGGGTAAGACAAAGTAGGAGTGTGTTCAAGAAAACATTTGGATAGATGACAAACCAGATTATGGCAAACACATATTCCAGGAACAGTAAAAAAGCTGGATTCCTAGAAATTCCTGTTGAAATAAATTTGTGTATGACTCTATTGATTCTGTAAAATTTGAGTTCATTTAGGGAAGAAAATCATGACCAAAGCAAGTATGATGACGCCAAAGAAGGGATCATATCCATCCCTTGTCTTCTTTCTTCTTTTAACTTTTGCCATTTTAAAATTTATTTTTTATTTAATATTTTGGTACTATATTTTTGATTATATTATTTCCCTTCATCAACTCATACCAGATCCTCCCCATCCTTTTACCCATCCAACTTCATGTTAGCAGCTAGGCTCACAATCCAAGCATCCATTCTCTGCTTAAGTATAACATTTATGATTTTTTTTGGAAACCATCCAGGCACTGTACAGTTCATGGGTAACTAATTCTTCAAGATCTTATTTTTATAATTTTGCTTTATTAATCCTGGGTGGGTATTTAATTTTTTCAGGCTAACCATAACAAGTATCATTTCACTGATTTCTTTATTATAATTAATGCAAACTGAGATCAAGAAATATGTCTTGACATAGGTGATGGCAACGAGTATTTTAAGTATTTGGAAAAGGTATTATTATCCTACCCAGTCAAGATACTGAGGCACAGAGAGACTGTAGCAGGCTACATGTGTGGCGAGGCTCACCTGGGGTTGAGCCCTCCTAAATGCAGCTGCAATGTTCCACCCATTGACACATTCATCCCAGATCATAACTGGAGAAGGGTTAGGATAAGCCCTAAGTGAAATGTAAGATACAGCTGGATTTAGGGTCCAGCTGCAAGGATCACTATGTGTAGAAACTCTCTGCAACTATATTCGTCTGAACACAGATTTACTCCTTGTCATCATTTTCATCTTGTACAAGCAGCTAACCTTATTAAATGTTTGGTAAGTTAGAATATGGATCTCTGAATATCAAGGCGAATTATATCTATTCCATAACTCTATCTCATCAACTAGGATGTTAATAATATATATTAGGTGCTCAATAAATATTTGTGAGCAGTAGAGAGACAGGAAAGTGTGTGCTTATACAGCAATGACCAAGGTCAGTTGCTAAGGCTCTGTTTTCACTGTTTCTCAATGTTGTTTCATATTAATAAACTTTGGAACCTGAGGTCAATACCTGTCTGTCTTCTCCATCATCCCTCCCAAAAGTAGGCGGAGCAATTTTCTCGTTACTTAAATGTGGATGTTCCAAAGGTTCAGTGACTCTAATGATCCAGAAGCCTCTAACCATGGGTTTCTCTATATTTAGCCCCAGCAGAAGCTTAGATGGTGTTTCTGGGTTCTTCCAAGTAGTCTTCCTGCTCAGCCTATTTCTGGTGCTTTTCAAGGCAGTCCAGTTCTACTTAAGAAGGCAGTGGCTGCTCAAGACCCTCCAGAAGTTCCCATCCACTCCTTCCCATTGGCTTTGGGGGCACCACCAGAAGGTAGGAAGAAGGGAGAGAGGGGAAGGACATGAAAAGCTGGCGCTCTGATAGTTTAGTTTCAGCCCATGGGGCAGTTTGCTGTGTGATGAGCATGTGGTTTCTGAATGAAGAATATTCATTGTACTTCTAAGAGTGAGCTTCCCTTAACCATGAGGAGCACACACCCTTTAAGAAGATGTGTGTTGATAATAGACTCAGGATGTACAAGGGCATGTGAAAACAGCCTTTCCTTATGGTGTGGGTGAGTGATGTCGGGTACACAGAACAACTATCTAGCTTTGTTAAGACTGAGAGAGCTTCTAGACATGATGATTTAGGGACCATGTTATGTATCAGTTTCCTCTGAGATTAAAACTGTCCTTTTTGAGGGAAACTTGTGATTACAGTACAGGATGTTCTAAAGAGAGGTAAAACATCCCATTCACAAAGGAAGTCTCTAAGTTACTGGAAGTTCTGTGGGGAGGTGAAACATCCCATCCTGCAGTAGAAGTCCTTAAGTTCAGGAAGCAAGCAACTCAAAGGCTTCAAAAAGTCCCTGAAACTGGCTGGATTCACCAGTCTCCTCCATTCTCAAGTGTGTATAAGCAGTAAGGATGGCTGACTTCTTCTAGCCCTCAGTAGAGCACAGTTTGGTAAGGGGCGGTATGAAGAAGTCCTCGGTGTGGATCGCACACTAGTCACATTTAAGAATAGATAAATTTAGAGCTCCTACAGAATGCTGAGGCTCTTATCCCCATAACTTCTTTATGGATCAATTGCTGCATAACTTCTTTATGGATCATTAGCTCCATCTAACAAGACTTCAGGATCTGGTCAGAGAAATTCTTGATACAGCACATGTCTGGATGAAAGAAAAGACAGATTGTCAAACTGACCCAAAATTCTGTCTTTTTTTTTCTGAACATTTTAGAGGCTATGTCCCTGTGATAGTCCTGCCTCCCCCTATCAAACAAAATACTAGATGTCAAAGAATAATTTCATTAATTTGTCTTTTTCCTGGTATCTGCTCCAAAAGGATAAGGACCTCCAGCAGATTCTTTCCTGGGTAGAGAAATTCCCAAGCGCCTGCTTACAGTGGCTCTCGGGGAGTCGTGCACGAGTCATGATCTATGACCCTGACTATGTGAAGGTGATTCTGGGGCGATCAGGTAAGAGTTCCATAGTTTCCTTGAAGCTGCAGCATGTCTACCACCCAACGTTCATACCCCAAACATTCATACCCCAAGTCTGTGGCATTTTAGAAAAGAGTGACATTCAGCCATCGATATCTGACTAGTATCTGCTACCGTTCTCACTGTCCAGAGACCAACATATGATTAAAAATACATAGTTCGTAACACTTAAAATAGCTGCACAGGGCTTAATTTCTTTTTTCTTTTCAAACAAATTAAGTCAATGTGTTTTACAAATTTCCCTATAGGTGAAGAACATATTTTATATCTAGAAACCTGGATTCAAAATCTCTAATTGCTTAGTTCTCTGGGACAAAGGATTACTAAACCACAGCCCATTATAGAAAAAACTCAAGTCTTTTTGTTATTGCTTGGCTTTGAGAAGTGTTTTGTTTGATTTATAAACATCATAGTGACAGAGACATTCAGCTGCTGGTGCAATGAAGTCTGTCTTCCTAAACCCACATAACTGGCAAAGATAGAAAGGAAAGGCAAGCAGTGAGAGGTGATAAGGAAAAACTGCCAGCAGAAATCCACCAAGAACTAATAGCATTGTTGCTAAAATGGCTCAGCTGGTCAAGGGGTTTGCTGCTGAAGCCTGATACTCTGAGTTTGAGCCCTGAAACCCACACTGAAAGTGAGAAGAAGGAACCAACTCCACAGTTGTCTTCTGAACACCAGACACTGAGGCAAGTGCACAAATGCACGCACACATGCATGCACACGCACGCACACACACACATACACACACACACACACACACACACACATTTACAAAATAAGTTTAAAATTCTGAAAAACTGAAGAATTCATAAAAAACTTGCAGTTTGAACAATATCTTGTTTATCTGGTCTGCAATATCTATGTTACTTTTCAGATCCAAAGGCTTCTGGTATTTACCAACTAGTTGTGCCCTGGATTGGTAAGTATATTAAAATAAAGAATATGTTTTCCTGACTGCTCTTTGGCTAATGGAGAACAATAGGTGCCTGGCCACAATTATCATGATCCATCCCTAAATAAGGCTTTATTTCTCTTCTTCTAGTCAGGCCTTATCCTTCCTACTGCTGTTGTAAGTGTTCATGATATCCAGTTTCTGCCACATCATATCTTCAGACATTCATGGCCAGACATTTATATATGTCCCTTGATCTGATACCAACCCATTTCATCCTTTATCTCAGTTTTTTTTATTTTATTTATTTTTATTTTTATTTTTTTTAATTAATTTATTTATTTAAGAATTTCTGCCTCCTCCCCGCCACCGCCTCCCATTTCCCTCCCCCTCCCCCAACCAAGTCCCCCTCCCTCATCAGCTCAAAGAACAATCAGGGTTCCCTGACCTGTGGGAAGCCCAAGGACCGCCCACCTCTATCCAGGTCTAGTAAGGTGAGCATCCAAACTGCCTAGGCTCCTCCAAAGCCATTGCATGCAGTAGGATCAAAAACCCACTGTCATTATTCTTGAGTTCTCAGCAGTCCTCATTGTCCGCTATGTTCAGCAAGTCCGGTTTTATCCCATGCTTTTTCAGACCCAGGCCAGCTGGCCTTGGTGAGTTCCCGATAGAACATCCCCATTGTCTCAGTGTGTGGGTGCACCCCTCGCGGTCTTGTTTTTTCTTAGTCACAGAAGACTAAGTCTCACTTTCCCTGTTTTTGGCTAAGAAATCCCACCATTACTGGAATTTCCTTTCCTTATTCCATTCCAATGAATCTTACCAAATGATCCCAAGGGTACCCTTGATTCCATTTCTACTGGACACATTCACATACCAGTCTCTGGCCCAGGCTACGGTTTACTTCTGTTGAATGGGAAGAAGTGGTTCCAGCACCGGCGAATGTTGACTCCAGCCTTCCATTATGATATCCTAAAACCTTACATCAGAATCATGGCGGACTGTGTCAATACAATGCTAGTGAGTTGCTTGGTTCTTTCTCATTTCTTCACACCCATTCATAGCACACTCACGATGACCTCACTTCAAACAATTTTCAGACAGTCACATAGACTCATGCTCTAAAGTAAATGTTCCATAAATGCATAAATTGGAATGCTCCTATTTATCAGATTGGAATACTCTCTTCAGAGAGCACTGTGGTAAGAACATGACCAAGTATTTACCACGGAGAATAAAACACCATGCAACAGAGACTCTTCATCTTTGGCTCGACCGGATGGTGGTGCCTTCTAGATGTTTTGGGACAAGAATGTCTTGAACCAAGGGCTTCTGCATAATCTTGAGTGAGCCACAAAGTAAAGACAAGGTCCACACTCTCACATTCATCTCTGACACACCATCACCTTTATTAGGCCTGATTTCTGTTCTCACCATGTTTAGCAAACTTTTTTTTTAAATTTTTTTTTATTGCGAAAAGAAGAAAAAAAATAAACAAAAAAACAAGTTTCCACCTCCTCCCAGCCTCCCATTTCCCTTCCCCTCCTCCCACCCTTCTCCCCCTCCTCCTACCCTTCTCCCCCTCCCCCCACTCCTCTCCCCCCCCCTCCCTCTCCAGTCCACAGAACAGTCCGGGTTCCCTGCCCTGTGGTAAGTCCTAGGTCCTCCCCCCTCCGTCCATATCTAGGAAGGTGAACCTCCAAACTGGCTAGGCTCCCACAAAGCCAGCACATTAAGTAGGATCAAAACCCCCTGCCATTGTCCTTGGTGTCTCATCAGCCCTCATTGTTTGCCATGTTCAGAGAGTCCGGTTTTATCCCATGCTTTTTCGGTCACAGTCCAGCTGGCCTTGGAGAGCTCCCCGTAGATCAGCTCCACTGTCTCAGTGGGTGGATGCACGCCTCGTGGTCCCGAATTCTTTGCTCATGTTCTCCCTCTTGGAAATAGAAAACACTATCCTGAGTGAGGTGTCCCAGACCCAAAAAGATGAATATGGGATGTACTCACTCATAATTGGTTTCTAGCCATAAATAAGGACCACGGAGTCTACAAGAGGTGAACCTAAAGAAGCTAAGTAAGAAGGTAAACCCAAGGAAAAACATATAGTTGTCCTCTTGGCTAAGGGAAGTAGACCAAATTTCCGGGGAGAAAATGGGATCTTGGGGATGGGGTGGGATGGGGGTAAAGGGAGATGCGGAGAGAAAAGGTAGAAGGGAAGGAGGGGGGACTTGGGAAACAGGAGAATTGGGATAAAGGAAAGGTGGATAGGGGAGCACGGAACCACAATTCTTAGTTAAGAGAGCCAGTTTAGGGTGGGCAAGAGACTTGACCCTAGAGGGGCTCCCTAGTGCCCAAGATGAGGTTCCCAGTTAGTTCCTTGGGCAGCTGAGGATTGGGAACCTGAAATGACCCTATCCTAGAGCAATACTGACGAATATCTTGCATATCATCATAGAATCTTCATCTGGTGATGGATAGAGATAGAGACAGAGACCCACACAGGAGCACTGGACTGAGCTCCCAAGGTCCCAAGGTTTAGCAAACTTTTGATAAGTGAAACGGAATTAAAACCACTCATGAGACACGTTCATTTAGGCCCACAGCTTCTTTACCTTCAAACATTTTATGCCTATATTAGTGTTTGCACTAATTTTTCAAGTCTAATTCACTCTCAGAAACATAAGAGGCCTTTTAGTAAAGTGAAAGATTATATTAGTTTTAAAAACAAAAAAACAGTAACTGGACCCCATGAGAGAGCATGTTGTTTTCTTAAAAGGTTTGGAAGAAGTAGGCATCAGACTACAAATATTCCCTTCACGCCTTTAGTTTGCTACAGACATATGCTCTTGATGGTGAGGTACGCCAGACTGATTATCTGTAGATAAACTAAAAAATCTTAGCCTGAACACAGGTCTTCTGAAGAAAACAATTGTTTCATTGTCACCACAGGACAAATGGGAGAAGCTCGACGGACAGGACCACTCTCTGGACGTCTTTCACTACATCTCCATGATGACACTGGACACTGTTATGAAGTGTGCTTTCAGTTACCAGGGCAGTGTCCAGTTGGATGAGTGAGTGAAACCTTCATTTGTAGTCTTTGGTCTTACCAATCTGTCGGGGCTTAGTAAGAGGTACATGGTAACGAAGATAGTTGCCTCTATAGAAAGCAAGGTTCTCACCCAGGCTTAGGCCAAGCTCTAATTTCAAGCCAGCCCCATCAAGACACAGTAGAACCCTAGCAAGTGTAGAAGCTCATTCTCTAAATGCTCAAGGATTCAAATACCTTAAGACACAAGTGATGTGGGCCTTGGTGTTGTGTGTCCACAGTTGAAAGGATGACTATAGAGCCCACTCTATTCTTGGGTCAGACAATCCCATAACCAGTATATTGTATTTCTTATGCTCAGAAACTCCAGGTCCTACACTAAGGCTGTTGAGGATCTGAACACCCTGACTTTCCATCGAATAAGGAGTGTCTTTTATTGGAATGACACCATCTACAAGATGTCCTCTGACGGCCGTTTGTTCTACCATGCCTGCCAGCTTGCACATGAGCACACAGGTTCTGCCTTTCCACCCCTTTCTTCCTTTATCAGGCTCACTGCAAAGATATGATTATACATCTCAGACACAGTGAGTTTACCAGAAGCCTCTATAGGACTCATGTTAGTCACTACTGAGATATAACTTCTGGGAGCCAGAATTACAAGAATTCCCAGTTTCATTACATTGCATTGGTGACACTGCAGGAGATCCATGCAACAGCCTTTGACATGGCTCTGTGTCCCAGGATATTGATTGGAGTCTTGTAGGATATGAGACTGTGCAGCCTTTACTCATGACCAAACTCCCACATGCGCATGCATTCTGGGCTCCCTGGAACACGCAGATTGGGCTCAGGGAGCCTGTAAATTACAGAAGCTCTGAGATCTCTCTGACAAATGCTATTATGGGGTAGATGGAGTGATCAAGATGAGGAAAGCTCAGCTTCAGAATGAGGAAGAGCTGGAGAAAGTCAAGAAGAAGAGGCGCCTGGATTTCTTGGACATCCTCTTGCTTTCCAAAGTGAGTGAAGTTCAGGGATGAGGTTTGGTCTGGAAACACAGATTAGATACCAACGTTGCTCTTACCAGTGCCTTTACTCAGATGGAGGATGGGAAGAGCTTGTCTGATGAGGACCTGCGTGCAGAGGTGGATACATTCATGTTCGAGGGCCATGACACCACAGCCAGTGGACTCTCCTGGATCTTCTATGCTCTGGCCGCACACCCTGAGCACCAACAGAGATGCAGGGAGGAGGTGCAAAGTGTCCTGGGTGATGGAACTTCTGTCACCTGGTGAGAAAAACTCAAGATGAAGAAGACCCCTGCCTACTTATAAGAGAGATTTTTTCTAAATTGTTTTTCTTTTTCTTTTTTCTTCTTTCACATAATACACCCTGACCACAGCCTCTCCTACTTCCCTACTTCCTGTTTTTTCCCACCTCTCCACTTTCCCTCTCCCCTAGACCCAATAATTCTTCATTTGATTTCAAAAAAGAGCAGGCCTCCAAGTGATGTCAAGCAAACACTGCATAACAAGATACAGTAAGACTAGGCATAAACCCTCATTTCAAGCCTGGACCAAACAACCCAGTAGGAGGAAAAGAGCCTCAAGAATAGGCAAAAGAATCAGAGATAATTCTACTTTCCCTGTTAGGCATCCAACAAAATCCCTAAGCTAAACAATCACATCATGTATGCAGAGAGTTCTAGTTCAGACCCACGTAGGTTCTGTGGTTGCTGCTTCAGTCTCTGTGAACCCTTATGAGCCCTGATTAATAGATTCTGTGGACTGTATTCTTGTGGTGTCCTCACCCTATCTGACTCCTATAATCCTTCCTTCCCTTCTTCTTCAGGGTTCCAACTAATAATTGGCTGTGGGTCTTTGTTTCTGTTCCCATCAGCTTCTGGCGGAAGCCTGTCTGGTGATGATTAAGCAAGACGCTGGTTCACAACAATAGCATAATGTCATTAGGAATAATTTCAATAACTTTTTTTTTGTTCAGTCATGTTCGATTCTATCCTAGGTCTCTGAGCCATCCAGCTTCCTGAGTCCGACTTCCTAGGCAGTGTTGGGCATGAGCTCTCTATAGAGGTGTTAGCTTCAAGTTAGGCCAACCTTTTGTTGGCCACCCCCACAAACTATGTGCCACCATTGTTCCAGTATATCTGCAGGGCAAGACACCTTGTGGGTCATATTTTGTGGCTGTATTGGTATCCCAGTCCCACCACTGAGAGACTTGCCTGGCTACAGAAGATGGCTGATTCAAGCCCTATATCTTCTCTCTGTTCCTTCCTCCCCACCCAATCTTGCCTGTTCCAATGCCCACTGTCCCCAGTCCACCCACAAAATCTATTCTATTTCCCCTTCCCAGGGAGATCCAAATTCCACCCTAGACCTCTCCTCTTTATCTAACTTCCATAGGTCGGTTGACTGTAGTGTGATTATCCTTTACTTAACAGCAATAGCCACTTATAACTGAGTACATACCATGTGTGTCTCTCAGGGACTGGGTTGCCTTACTCGGGATGATGTTTTTCTAGTACCCCAGTCCTGTGTGACTTTTCAGGGTGGCTTTTATTTCAGGGACCACCTGGACCAGATGCCCTACACCACTATGTGCATCAAGGAGGCCATGAGGCTCTACCCACCTGTCCCGACTGTGAGTCGAGAGCTCAACACACCTGTCACCTTCCCTGATGGACGCTCCTTACCCAAAGGTAACCAGAACCAGTTGCCTCAGTCCTCATGTGTACTCTGTTGTCTCAATAAATTGGATCCTTATTTTGAAGTTGTGCTGAGGTCATAAAATTGAGACTGAGGAAGTCTTCTAGAAGAAATGCCACCCCCTAGTTAAATGTCATTCTCAGCTTTGAAATTGCAGTCACTTGAGATATTCAGGGTTGAAAAAGAACGACACAAGTCTTGTGACAATGCGGTTTTATTCATGAGTAAAAGCAAATGAGAAAGATAATGGAATCCTGCATGTTGGTGCAATGCTTCCCAGTGTCTCTGGAAATTTTGAGTTGATGAAAGAGAGGAGCCAGGGATAAGTTCTGGGATCCTCATCTCTATAGGGAAACATGTATTAGTGAACTGGTCATTGGGTATGATACCAGGTCTGCCACATCCTAGCACTGTAAACATAAGAAAAGATAACGGGCCTCATGGACAATTTAGTATTTCATATGAAAAATGGGCATAAAACAGCACCTTAGGAATGGCGGGGAGGGAATTGTGAGTGTTCTGTGAGCTAATGTGTGTTCTCTGACAGTACATGTAAGACATTTGATGAGTGTGTGTTGACACTTCACTTACTAGAAGCAGATGCTCCCATAATTCACTACTCTCTATCATCACTGGATTCATGGTTCTCTAAAGCACACTTTGTTAAGCTCCCTATTGCCCAAAGGATTATCAGCTCTAAGTGATGACTCCTTAAGCACATGCCAGTCTCCTGTTGGATGTGAGTCTAGAGCCCATTTCTTTGGCTTAATTTCACTCCATGTCTTCCCCTCACAGGTATCACAGTTGCAATCAGCATTTATGGCCTTCACCATAACCCACGTTTTTGGCCAAACCCTAAGGTATGAAGGCCCTGAGAAGAGAGAAGAGCCACTCAATTGCAACTTCAGACATTCTGTCTCCTTTTGCATTGGAAATGGGCTTCACTTTGGTTTGTCCTGGTCCCTGTGCTCTCTCTGCAGGTGTTTGACCCCTCTAGATTTGCACCAGATTCTTCTAGGCACAGCTACGCTTTCCTGCCCTTCTCGGGAGGAGCAAGGTGATGGGAAAGGTTTGGGAGGAAAGGGAGTCCCTGGCACGTATTAATATTTTCTATTTCTGATCGCTTATGTTTCATTTGGTCTACTTTTGTGTATTATTGTTATGTGTGGACAGATAGTGTCAGGTATATGCACCAAAATGGAAGATGGCAATTCAGTATACCACAGAGGGTTTTAATCCACTGCCCAGTGGTTACTGAAATATTTGTAAGAAAGACTAGTATATATTGGTATTTTTACAAATGCTGAACTTCATATTTCTGAATTGTATTCCTTATGCAAGCTAAACCAAGAATTTTAGTTTTCAATGACATTAAAGGGAGAATTTTTCTTTCCCAAAATTCCCAGTAGGTTTTCTTATTAATTCAACTGTTGGGTGCTTCTATAATTCCCTGAAATATATGTATCGATAAACATGCATGTAATAAATGTATATTAAGAATTACAGGTGATATATATATATATATACATATATATAAAATTCTAGAAATTTTATGGGCATTTCTGTTAAAGTAATATATATAAGAGTTCCCAGCTCATTTGACGATGGACACCAGAGGCTATCATGTTACATTTTTGGCCTCTACCCTCACAAAAATTTTACCACATAGACAAATGTTTGCAACTTGTATTTCCCAGTTTGCAAAGCCATGTGTATGGGAAGGGACATCAGTCACAGGGAATCAGAGCTACTTAGCTCTTAGCTTGTCCTTTAGAGTTGATAGTGAAGGTAATGAGGAGCATCTCTGGCAACTTCAGCAGTGTGATCTTAAATGGGAAGTGAGGCTAGAAACTCAACAATCCTGTGTTAAGTGTGGTTATGGCTGGGGCATCTGGATGCTGTTCTACCTAATGGAGTGCATAGGAAGAAGTGTGTGGAAAACAAAGACAGCAAAACTGTAAATAAGGGATTTTCTGAGGTCCGATAAGATGGCTGCAAATGATGGCAGTCTGAGAGGGTTGAGGGGTCGGAGCCCGACAACTGAGCAGGAGGAAGATGGAGAACAGCTTGAAGATTCTAAATCAGGTGCATTCACCAGAAATTTCTACCACTGATATTTGACTCCCACTGTAGGATCAATTCAGTTTTTATGCATAGATGATAAGCTCCAGTATGGTGACTTATCCATCCTCATCCTAAACCTAATAGGGGTGTTCATAGTGGAGATCCAAAACTTTGTGGAGAGAATTGGATAACCTAATGACGACCTCATTAAATAATTCATGTGCTTGGACTTGATGCCCCACAATGCTGGCACTGTTCAAATGACATTTCACATAGCCAAGAGCAGCTCTGGGTTAGACGTAGCATTAGAGGAGTGAAAATTTGTCATAGGTCAGAAATCTATGCACGAAGACAAGGGAAGGGATTCAGGTGGTTGTGTGAACTTAAAGCAAGGGAATGATTTAGGTGTGTGACCTATATGGAAAATGATTAGGCTGGTACCATGAAGGGGACCCTAATGCCCAACATGTCTGAGGACGCATCTCACTTTATGTCTCTGCTTGGTTCAGAAACTGCATTGGGAAACAGTTTGCTATGAATGAGATGAAGGTGGCCGTGGCCCTGACCCTGCTCCGCTTTGAGCTGCTGCCAGATCCCACCAGGATCCCAGTCCCCGTATTAAGACTTGTGTTGAAGTCCAAGGATGGGATCCACCTGCGTCTCAAGAAGCTAAGATAATTCTGGAGGAGAAAAGAACAACTCTAGGGACCTGCTGCCTTCAGGGCTTTCTACTTGTCCCCTGCTTCTGTCCCGGGCTTATCTGTACTTCTTCTGCTTTCTTTCAGACACCTGTCCCTCTGCTGTCTGTGATGTCTCCTGTCATCCCATCTTCCTGCTCTTTCTCAAACTCTACCTAGACTCTTCCCCAGTTGTGTGTGTGCCTGTCTGCCACATGGTTGTGTCTCTGACTGGCCACATAACCCCTAGACACCTGCCTGTCCTCAGTTTACCCTTTACAACCATCCCCCTGAAAGAAGAAACATTTTAAATGGAGACACTTGTGCCTCTCCCTTTGGCTCTCAGACTCTTGAGACAGTAGACACCATGAATTCAAATGTCCTTAGGAATCACACGCTGGGAGAAAATTAACATTAAAAGTCTGCATCCCCCAGAAGGGGAACTTGATTCACAAGCAGAGGCTCTCCAAATTCTTTCTACTTGTCTCATGTTGATGTTAATGTGTGCAGATTTAGGGCATTTGTTCCAATTTTCTTATGAAAAAATAATCCTGTTATAGAGAAATTAATAGTTTTTCCTCTTTTGACCCAAGCCGAAAATAAATCCATTTTACTTCATCTACTCCTGTTTCCTATTTTTGTTTCAGATGCAGACATGAACCCAAGTGTCCCAAAGGGGCTTTGGCAAGCCAGCCATCAGGGAATCTTGTTACTGTCTGGTCCCTACTGTTAGAGTGTGGTAGAATTCTCAGCTCTTGAGGGGTTTGCTTTGCTTTTTGACCCTTTGAGTTGGCTGTCTATAAATCGGACTGATGATTTGGTGAAGCCAAGGAGTTTTCTGATTTTAACCTGATCTTATTTGCTTAGAGTACTCTAGTTATTCAGTAAGGAGATTTGGAGTATTCTTGCTAAATGCATATGATCTGGACCTGGATTCTTTGATGATTTCAGCACCAACTATAAAGAAAAGTGTTTGTCATCCTTGCATCACACACAAAAGTTCATAAAACACTACTACAGCTGACTCTACAGTATGACTTTAGAGTCTACAATATGACTGCTCCATACTGACTCTCACACGGTGACTTCAATACTGTGTTCTCACTAGCAACAGGTCATCCTGACAAAAGCTAAACTAAAGTTCTTGAGGTAATCTATGTCATAAGCCAAACAGACCTAACATATTTTCAGAGCATTTTACCCAAACACAAAAGAATCTACCCTTTTCTCAACACCTCATGGAACATTCTCCAACACTGATTAAATACTTGGACATGTCCCAACAGATACAATAAAACTAGAAACATCCTATCCGATCACCATGGATTAAAGCCGGATATCAAGAACAGAAAAACTAAAACCTCATGGAAACTGAACAATGCATTACTGAATGAGAAGTGGGCCAAGACAGAAATCAAGAAGGAACATGAAAACCTTCTATAATTGAATGAAAATGAAAACAACATATTGAAATCGATGGAACATAATGAAGGTAGCTGTAAGAGGCAAATTCATACCACTGAGTGCCTAGATTTCCTCATATCTGGATTTATGTCGTCCTTTTCATCTCTAACTTTGTTAACTTGGATCTCTCCATTCCACCTTTAGTTAATTTGGCTATTGGTTTTCTTAACCAACTGTTTGTTTTCTGTTATTGTTTGTTTGTTTCTATTTTATTGACTTCAGTTCTGAGTTTGATTATTTCTTGCCATCTACTCCTTTTAGATTTTATTTTTCTTTTGTTCTAGAGCTTTCATGTATGTTATTAAATTACTAGTACAAGATCTCTCCAATATTTGTCACTTTTTCTTGAAATTCATAAATCTGTCAGCCCCCATCCGATCATATTTCTCAATTTAGCTAAGAAACAAGTGTGACAGATCATGGGGTGAATTTCCTATTTAAAGGGGTCTACCAGTTAGACTGTATGAATTAGGAGAGCCTCTCCGCAATTTGCCACATGTAACTTGGATTTACGTCCTTGCAATCTAGAGATTATCAAACACAAAACACAAAAACATGTAAAAGAACTTGGAGGGAGATGGCATCAGAATCCTTGTTTTCTTTAGCCTGTCTAGGTCATAGCAATCACAAAGTAATACAAACAACAACAGCAACTAAAACAAAATTAAGGGCATCTGGGGAGCAAAATGAAAGCCAGAAGAGTGTGAGGAAGGAATCTTGGGTTGTGTGTGTGTGTGTGTGTGTGTGTGTGTGTGTGTGTGTGTGTGTGCATTCTATCTTAAAGGAAAGAGACCTGAAAATGCAGATTGAGCAAGCATCAAGATCATGCATGGAACGTGTATCTGTCTCCAGCTTCCCACAAAAGCAAGCCAATCCCATCTTAGCTCCCACAGCTGTCCCTTCTGGCAACAGCTTGTCCAGCGCCTGGCATGGCACCCTATCATTTGGGTCCTGACTGGAATCTGCTTTTCCAAGACTCAGCTCTTGGCTGCTGCAAATTCCCATACAACCTCCTGGGTCTAGCTATCTCAAAGGTGTCAGCTCCCCCTGGTGGCTGGTCAGTGTTGGCAGCATGTGCCTGGAGACACACTCCCAAGTCTCTGGCTAGGTAACAGCAAAGTTAGAAAATTCTAAGTCTACCAAAAACAGCCACCATTCTGACATTAAAATATTTTGTATCAAAAATATAAAATTCACCTAACAAATCATTAAAGGTGGATAATCTGTGTAATATATATTGTTGCTCCCCAACATCCTTTTTATTGAACACCAAGGCCAGAAGGACAATGAATTATTGTAGAATTGCTTCCCCTCTTACATTATACTATAAATTTAAATATACTTAAGATGTATTTCTATTTAATGACATGTAATTGGTACATAATTATAATCATTTGACTTCAAAACCAGTTAATATAGGTAGAAAAACTTAATTGTGTGTGAATTGGTGTCTAGTGAAGCTTTGGAAAGTCTACATTTGCTTCTTTAAAAATGTTTATTGTAGGCAGGGGTGGGAATGGAGGATGGGGGAGGGAAAACTGCAGTTGGGATTAAAATTAATTAATTAAATAAATAAAACATGAAAATATTTATTGTGAAAAAGGAATATAAAAATTCCTCTTATTTTCTGACCTTATTTTCTATGTTAAATGTTGTATTAAAGAATTTTGAATGACTGTGTTCTATCTCCTAAATAAATAAATTCGGAGGAAGAAACAGTAAATATGTTTTGTAAAACAATATGTAAAAGTACAAAGGATCTACTAACATGGCTACTTTCATTATTCTGTAAATAAATAAAATTCAAGAGTCAGATATTAGGGTATAAACAAAACGCAATGGTGAAATGATCAGCTGACCCATCTCTCCACCTTTCCAGATTAAAAAGCTCACCAAACAATTAGGCCTCTCCCTTTTCCTTCCTTTGTCTCTCTATCCTCATCTGGGTCAGCCAAAACTACTCTGGGGTTTATTCTGACTAGCTGAACATGGATTGCCGTCTTTGGCAGTTTTAGAGGGACAGTGCAAGGATATTTACCCCAACAACCCACCACAGTGGTCTGGTACGAGAGAGCTTGTGTGGAAGCCCCATCTGGGTCTCATTTCCAAAATCCTATTAGAGTCCAGGAAAGTGAAAACAAAAAGGGAAAATTTGGGAGCAGAGGACTGAGTTATGACTGAATGCCTGTGGCATGGAAATTATAGCTGTGTATGATCACCTGGAGGCTCAGTGGTACTGGAAGGGAATCACTTAGGTGCCATCATTTTGATGATGTCACTAACCAAGATGGTGACCAATCAAATGTTGCCACCTTCTTGATGACATCACTAGTCAGGATGGTGACTAAGTTATTTGGTTGCTGCCATCTAGATGACATCACTAGCCAAGCCATTTAACTAGCCAAGTTCAGTGGTGTCACCTTCTTGATGATATTAGCTAAAATGTTGGCCAAGTTACATGGTTGCTTCTTTTTTTTTTATTGAGAAAAGGAGAAAAAAAAAACAAGTTTCCACCTCCTCCCAGCCTCCCATTTCCCTCCCCCTCCTCCCCCCTATGCCCCCTCCTCCCACCCTTCTCCCCCTCCCCCCACTCCTTTCCCCCTCCCTCTCCAGTCCAAAGAGCAGTCAGGGTTTTCTGCCCTGTGGTAAGACCTAGGACCTCCCCCCTCCGTCCATATCTAGGAAGGTGAACATCCAAACTGGCTGGGCTCCCACAAAGCCATCACATTACGTAGGATCAAACCCCCGTGCCATTGTCCTTTGCGTCTCATCAGCCCTCATAGTTCGCCATGTTCAGAGAGTCCAGTTTTATCCCATGCTTTTTCAGTCCAAGCTGAGGTCCCCAGTTAGTTCCTTGGGCAGTTGAGAATAGGGAACCTGAAATGACCCTATCCTTGAGCAATACTGACGAATATCTTGCATATCATCATAGAACCTTCATCTGGTGATGGATGGAGATAGAGACAGAGACCCACACTGGAGCACTGGACTGAGCTCCCAAAGTCCCAATGAGGAGCAGAAGGAGGGAGAACATGAGCAAAGAAGTCGGGACCACGAGGGATGCACCCACCCACTGAGACAGTGGAGCTGATCTATTGAGAGCTCACCAAGACCAGCTGGACTGTGGTTGCTTCTTTTTGAGCTCAGCTCTGTGATAAAATTGGCCCATTCCCCATCAGGACAATAGTTTTCATGGGATCTAAAAAATGCAAGAGCTAGACACACAGGGCAGGAGGAAGTGCCCTGAGGTAGCCAAGCCCAAAACAGCAGAGCAAAGACACAGAAGAAAGAATGCCATTGTGTCAAACCAAGGAAGAGGAGTTCATATGTCTTACCACCAGTTGTGACTAGGTTCTCTCCCCATGGTTGTCATTTGGACCTCATTGAATCTCTGCTTGGCTCCTAGGCAAAAGTTGCTGCTGGGGAAAAGAACCCATGAAAAAAGCAGAAGGCATGGGAAGGTGTGTCCGAGGTCTGTGTGGATATTAGACATAAAGCAAAAGATAACCAGAATACAGTCCATAACCACAGAAAAGATATATAATAATGAGGACACTAAGAGAGATCTACATGGATTCCCCCTAGGAAGGGGAAATAGTCAAGATCTCCTTAGTGAATTTGGAGCATTGTGGGGGAGGGGGACAGAAAGGAAAGAAGAGGACAGAAGGGGTTGGCAAGGAGAACTTGAGGAATGGGATGGTTGAGATAAATGGAACCTTCATCCAGATCATTATGGGGAAACCCACAGAAACAATTGGCCTGAGCTAGTGGGAGCTCACTGACTCTGGACTGACAGCAGGAGACCTTCGTAGAACCAAACTAAGCCCTCTAAATATGGGTCACAATTGTGTGGATTGGGCAGTTTGTGGGGCCACTGGCAGGGAGACCAGGATTTATTCCTAGTGTGTGAACTGGCTCTTAGGAGCCTATTCCCTATGGATAGATTCCTTGCTCAGCCTAGATACAGGGGAGGGCCTTGGTCTTGTCTCAAAGTCATGTGCCAGACTTTGTTGACTCCCCATGGAGGCCTTACCCTCTAAGAGGAGTAGATGGGGCAATGGGTCAAGCTGGGGAAGCAGGAGGAGGGAGGCAGGGTACTGGGATTATTATGTAAATAAAAAATATTGTTTAAAAAGAGAGAGAAAGAAAAAAATGTTAAATCTAAAAAAATCCTGATATGAAAAAATCCAGGAAATCTGGTAAACTATGAAAAAAAATCAAACCTAAGAATAAGAGAAATAGAAGAAGGAGAAGAATCCCAGCTCAAAGGTCCAGAAAATATTTTCAACAAGATCATAGAAGAATATTTTTCATAACCTAAAGAAGGAGCTGTCTATAAAGTTTCAAGAAGTTAACAGAACATCAAATTATTGGATCAGAAAGAAAGATTCCTTGCCATATAATAACAAAAACACTAAACATACAGAAAAACAACAATATTAAGAATATTAAAATCTGGCCCAGAGCGGCGGAGACCCCCGGTTCGCAGGCCCCGGCGGATGCGGGATAGGCCAAGCACGAAACAGTGAAGCCCACACTGAGAGCAGATCGCTCCACTACTACTAAATCAAGTAGGTTTTTTGGGGCCTGGCCTGCAGAGTGGTAGAACGTTTATTGACGAGATCCACGGGCGAACGGGAAGCCTGGTCCTGCCCTTGAAGACCCTCCTGAGTGGGGAGAGTGTTCTGGACCAGCGGCGGGACACAGGAAATGAAGCAGGGGCATTCCCCGACCCCCTTGACCCCCCATTTAGTCTGCGAGGGCAGGTACCCTCTGCTGGGGCTGCTCCTCCTCTGTGGCAACCTCTCTCTCCCTGACCCATCCCAGCTTGTGCCCAGGAGCCTCCTTCACTCCCCCTCCCTTCCATGGGGCTGTGGGATCACCCAGTTTAGCCTGTAAGGGCACTGGGTCAGGAGCTCAGTGCAGAGGGCAGCGAGAGTTTCTCTGTTTTGGTGGCTGGCCTGCAGAGTATTAGCCCTTTTGTTGGCGAGGCCCCTGGTGAACGAGGAGCTGGGTCCTGTTCCTGAAGACCCTTCTGAGGGGTGAGAGGGATCTTGGCCCTAGGCAGGAGCCAGGAAACAGAGGGAGGGCATTTGGTAAGTGGAGCCCCTGACCAGCAGGGATACCTGATCTGGTATTAAAAGACCCATTAGATAGCATCCATAGGAGGAGATGGGCAGGGGCCAAGGCAAAAATTCACCCAATAAGCTGAAAAACAACATGAAAACACCAGAACCCAATGATCTTACAACAGAAGGATTTGAACACCCTAACACAGAAGAAGTGGAAAAAATTGACTTTATGAAAGCAATAGAGTCCC